CTGCCTCCCAAAATGCTAGGATTACAAATGTGAGCCACTGAGCTTGACCTGGATTTATTATTCTCCTCCTCTTCCTCTTCAAAGTCAGCAGAGTAGCATCTTGTCCCCTCTCTGACTTCTGTCTGTCCTCACATCTCTCTGACTCTGACCCTTCTGCTTCCCTCTCATAAGAACTCTTGTGATTATATTTAGGGCCACCTGGATAATCCAAGCTAATCTCCCCATCTCAAGTTATTAACTTAATCACACCTGCAAAGTTCCTTCTTTTCTGAGTCGGAATCTCACTGCTTCCCAGGCTGGCATGCAGTGTGGCACAATCACAGCTCTCTGCAGCCTCGACTTCCTGGGTTCAGGTAATCCTCTCGCCTCAGCCTCCAGAGTAGCTGGGACTACAGGCATGCCTCACCACTCCTGGCTACTTTTTAGATTTTTTTGTAGAGATGGGGTATCGCCATGTTGTCTAGGCTGGTTTCGAATTCCTGGGCTCAAGCGATTCTCCAGCCTCAGCCTCCCTAAGTGCTGGGATTGCAGCTACCTTGCCCAGTCTGCAAAATCTCCTTTACAGTCACAGGCCAGCAAGTCACAGATTATGTGGGATTAGGGTATAAATATCTTTGGGGGGCATGACTCAGTCCCCCTCAGTGATGAGGAGTGCCTGGACAATCCTCATCATATCCCTCCTTCCTGCCATGAAAGAAAAAAGCCTCAAAGTCCCTTAATGCCACCTGGGAATCCCTTCTAGCTGTACTGGGGTCCCGTGATATTCTCTGGCCCATTTATAGCATCCCTGGCTGTCTCCTGTCACATCCTTGAGGTCCTACTCTAATGATACCTGGCTACATTCTCTTGCCTCAGGGACCTGCTCTCACGTCCCCAGGACTCTATGTGAACACCCTTGGACTTTCACCTTGGCTCTCCGGGATCCAGCCATAATGTCCTCATGGACCCACTGGAATGCTATAGAAAGCCCTGACAGTTTCGGCTACACAGGCCGCAGGTCCCTGTGCAAAACGAAAATTGGGGCCCCTTATCCAGTTTCCAGATAGTTCAAGGCATTACATCAAGTGCCAACGGTCCCTTTTGATCCACTCCACCAGCGTCTCTGTTATGAATGGCCCCGGCACCTCTGAGCTGTGCTCCCTGAATCACCTTGACACCCGCCCTCCCCTCTGCACCTGCGCAGTAGTGCCCCCTACTGACTGCAGAAGGCAATTACACCTGTGCTCCAAACTTTAAATCCTGACCCTAGCAAGTCCATCTCTCCGAGCCTCAGCTTCTTCATCTGTAAAATGGGAAAACTAATTATGCCTATCTCGTTAGTGCACCTTCAGTGGGTCAAAACCTCAGCACGGAGCACACTGGGCATCTGTTCCCCTTAACAGCCTACTCCACAGTCAGCCTGGGTCCCCAGGGGCCCCCCTGGATCGCAGGCTTGAGACCAGGCCCTGGACCTGTCTTGCTCACTCTGGCACCCATCCCCAGGGGACAGCACAATAAATATTTGTGGAGTGAATGAAAGCAATAATGAATGACTCTGGGATTTTTTTCTTTCTTTCTTTCTTTTTTTTTGAGTTGGAGTCTTACTCTGTCGCCCAGACTGGAGTGAAGTGGCCGTTCCTGGCCACCGCAGCCTCGACCTGGTGGGCTCCGGCGATCCTTCCGCCTCAACCTTCCAAGTAGCTGGAATTACAGGCATGTGCTACCACGCCCGGCTGATTTTTTGATTTATTGTAGAGATGAGGTCTCGCTGCCCAGGCGGGTCTCGAACCCGCGGGCTCAGGCAATCCACTCACCTCAGCCTACCAAAGGTGCGGGATTACAGGCTGAGCCACCAAGCCCGGCTGGAATTTTTTTCTTTTTGAGTCAAGGTCTCCCTGTGTTGATCAGGATAAAGTCCAGTGGCCCAATCATGGCTCACTGAAGCCTTGACCTCCTGGTGATCATTCCACCTCAGCCTCCTGGGACGACAGGTGCACACTACAATATAAAGCTAATTAAAAAAAAAATTTTTTTGCAAGCCGGGCTCGGTGGCTCAGCCTGTAATCCCGCGCCTTTGGGAGGCTGAGGTGAGTGGATGGCCTGAGCCCGCGGCTTCGAGACCCGCCTGGGCAACTTGGCGAGACCTCATCTCTACAATAAATCAAAAATTAGCCAGGCGTGGTAGCGCACACCTATAGTTTCAGCTACGTGGAAGGCTGAGGTGGCAGGATCGCCGGTGCCCAGCAGGTCGAGGCTGTGGTGGCTAGGAGCGGCCACTGCACTCCAGTCTGGGTGACAGAGTGAAACTCCAACTCAAAAAATAAAATAAAATTTTTTGCAGAAACAGGGGTTCACTAAGTTGTGCAAACTGGTCTTGACCTCCTGGGCTCAAGAGATCATCCTCCTTTAGTTTCTCAAAGTGCTGGAATTACAGGTGTGAGCCACCACACGCAGCCACTCTGGAATGGTTTGATATACCTCTAAAACTCTTCTAGAATATCCTTGGTGTCCTGCTAGATACAACCAAGACCTGCTCTATTGTCACGTGGCAGGGCTGATGTCTGCTTTCATTGTAAATCCAGGACCCTATTAGGGGGTCCTGGAGCTAATTTTCTAGCCTGGAGCTAATTTTCTTGTGAAGTGGCAATGCCACTGGGGCCTGCTGTAATAAGCAGGCAACGGAACATTCCAGAAACATAGACTCAACATCCCTATCACCAACTACCCAGGCTTGCTGTTGCAGACCTAGGACTCCAGAACTATACAACACTTCTGGGGCTTAAGCCTGCCCCAAAGGCCCCAGGACTTGCTGTAACAGGACACCATGGCGCCTTTCTTTTTTTTTTTTGAGTCGGAGTCTCACTCTGTCACCCAGACTAGAGTGCAGTGGCCGCTCCCGGCCACCGCAGCCTCGACCCATTGGTCTCCGGCGATCCTTCCGCTTCAGCCTTTCGAGTAGCTGGAACTACAGGCGTGCGCTACCACGCCCGGCTAATTTTTTGATTTATTGTAGAGATGAGGTCTCGCCAAGTTGCCCAGGCAGGTCTCGAACCCGCAGGCTCAGGCAATCCACTCACCTCAGTCTCCCAAGGCACGGGATTACAGGTTGAGCCACCGAGCCCAGCTGGGGCCTTTCTTTAATAGGCTGAGGGTCCGGCATCATTACTTCCCTAAGTATCACTTGCCAGAACTAGTTCTACCCATCATCACACATGAGCACACTGCATCCTCCTAATATATTAGGCAGGGAGGCCAGAACCCATTTTACAGATTAAGAAACTGAGGCCTGGGGTGGGGGAGCAGGTCACTTGTCCAAGTTCACTCAGCTTTCGAGCTGCAGGGCCAGAATTTGAAGCAGAGCCTGTGGTCTCAATGCCTACATATGGGCGTCCCCTCCACCTCTACTCATGTTTACAGTCTCAAGTTATTCAGCGCCCGGAGTCAGGCCATTGAGATTGTGTTAATTACTGTTAAGTTAAACGAATGAATGAACTTAACATTCATTTAACTTAATAATAATAGACACTCACGACTTGTTGCAAGCGCTGGGCTAGAAGGATCCCTAACCTCTGAGCTTATGTTTTACATGTAAATAAGCCTTTGGAAGGCTGAGGCAGAGGATTGCCTGAGCTCAGGGGTTCGAGGTCAGCCTGGGTAACTTGGTGAGACTTCATCTCTACAATAAATTTTTTTTTTTTGAGTTGGAGTCTCATTCAGTCGCCCAGACTGGAGTGCAGTGGCCGCTTCCAGCCACCGCAGCCTCACCTGCTGGGCTCCGGCGATCCTTCCGCCTCAGCCTTCCGAGTAGCCAGAATTACAGGCATGCGCTACCACGCCCGGCCGAGTTTTTGATTTATTGTAGAGATGAGGTCTCGCTGCCCAGGCGGGTCTCGAACCCGCGGGCTCAGGCAATCCACTCACCTCAGCCTCCCAAAGGTGCGGTATTACAGGCTGAGCCACCGAGCCCGGCTTTCTACAATAAATTTAAAAGTTGGCTGAGTGAAGTAGAGTGCACCAGTAGTTCCAGCTACTTAGAAGGCTGAGGTGGAAGGATCACCGGAGCCCAGCAGGCTGAGGCTGAGGTGGCTGTGAGCTTGCCACTGTACTCCAGCCTGAGCGACAGTGAGACTCCAACTAAAAAAATAAAATAAAAATGAAAACAGGGCTGGGATCAGTGACTCAGCCTATAATCCCAGCACTTTGGGAGGCCAAATCGAATGGATTGCCTGAGCCCATGGGTTCGAGACCAGCCCGGGCAACTTGGCGAGGCCTCATCTCTACAATAAATCAAGAATTAGCTGAGTGTGGTAGCGTGCACCTGTAGTTCCAACTACTTGGAAAGCTGAGGTGGAAGGAACCCCGGAGCCCAGCAGGTCGGCGCTGTGATGGCCATGAGCGTGCCACTGGACTCCAGCCTGGGTGACAGAGTGAGACTCCAACTCAAAAGAACCCCATAAAACCAAAAAGATGAAGACAGGGAGGGAGGGATCTGGGTGAAAATGGGGGCGAGGTGATGGGGGTGGGGAGGGGAGAGAACCAGAGTATTCCTGCCAGAGGGAACAGCCTGTGCAGGAACTCAGAGGCAGCAGGTCTGAGCCGGGCGCTGGGAGGTGAGCAGAGTGAGCAAGGGGAGGGGACAGCAGGCGGGAGCGGTGCTGAGAGGCTGTGACGTGGAGAACCCCTGGCTCATTCCCTCTCCCCAGGGGAAAGCACTGTGGAGGGGCCCTTCTGCTGAATGTGGGGGGCCTTTCTGCTTGTTCTTTGCAACCCACCAGGCCCGGTAGAGGTCCCTCCCCAGCACACAACCTGAGGAGAAGGGGTGCACAGAGACGCACCGCTGACCCGAGGAAACGGGGGAGCTGGGCTGTTGTTGTTGTAAACACAGGGGCCCCACCCCAAACGGAAACACCTGCAGCAGGAGGGGTGCCTCCACCCAAGGCCAGAAGGGGCCTGGGATCCCTCCCTGGCTCCATCCCCTCCCCCCGGGGCCATGTACCCACTCCCATTTCTGTGCCTCTCACTGGGTCCCACCCCAGCACAGGGCGGCGGCCCCCTCGGACCGGCCCCTGCCCCTTCCTGCCCTCTTTGATGCGGCCACACTTCCGCTGGCAGGAACCGCCGCCCTCCCTGGGTAAAAGGCAGAAGCCGGGCCCACAGGGAGGCGGCGTCCCTGCAGGCAGCAGCTCCTCTCTTCCCAGGGCCCTGTCTCCCAACCCTTGTACCAGTGCTGTGCCTCAGACCCTGGTACAGGCATGGGGGGCAGGGACCTGGGGACCCCAGCACCGGCAGACCCGAGGGTAAGGTCAGTGGGCGTCTCTGGAACCTCCCTTGTCTCTGTCTGTCTGCCTGGCAGCAGCTTGGATGTGGGTCTCTCCCTCTCGGGTCCCCCAAGTCCTAGCTTTCCTCTCCTGGACTTCTCTGAGCCTACCTCTGCTGCCCGCTTACCCACCACCCTGCATGTGCATGATGACTTTTGTGACACCCACGGCCCACCCCGCTCAATGTTTCTACAATGCCTGTCTCTCTGTGGTCTCTGTCTGTCTTCTCATCGCTGCAGGTGACACTCAAGGCCCTTTTTCCCCAACAGAACCCCCCACCCCACCCCCCATTGTCCCCAGGGTACCATCAGAAGCCTGTTCCATTTCCCTTTGGTGGTCAGTCCCACCTGAGGGCTTACTGACCACCTCTGAGCAGCCTGAGCCCTGCACTGCAAAGCTAGGCTTCAACTTCCTTAGATGAGGCAGCTGGTGTGAGGAAATGTCCAGAACCTGAGAACAGGAACTCAGTTTCCCACGGGGACTCCAGGTGAACCAGTCCCTCCCAGGTGGGTTCCCTCATCTGCAAGGGAGTATGTTGCCCACCCAGGAGTGGGCGGTGGGGCTCATCGGGACCCTGCCTTGCTTCTTGACACTACTTCTTGGCTGTTGGGGGCAACAGGACATCCAAGGTGAAGTCAAGACCCCTAGAGTTCAGAGCCAGGCTGCTAAGAGCACTGAATGAAAACCCACCCACCCCTACAGGGAGCTAAGGCCCACAGCAGGGGTGGCTGCTTCTTCCTCCTGCAAGACCCAGCAGCCTCCACCCTCCCTTACTTCCTCCCCAGTGGTTAGGAAGGTGGGGGAACAACAGGTCCTATCTACACACCAAGAAAAGGTGACAAGGACTGGCAGACAGGAGCAGCAGCATTTTATTCTTTTGAGTTGGAGTCTCACTCTGTCACCCAGGCTGGAGGGCAGGGGCATGCTCCCAGCCACCGCAGCCTTGACCTGCTGGGCTCTGGCGATCCTTCCACCTCAGCCTTCCAAGTAGCTGGAACTACAGGCATGTGCCACCACACCCAGCTCATTGTTGACTTATTGTAGAGGTGCAGTCTGACCAAGTTGCCCAGGCTGTTCTCAAACCCATGGCCTCCGGCAATCCTCTCACCTCGGCCTCCCAAAGTGCTGGGATCATAGACGTGAACCACCATGCCTGGCCAGGAGCAGCATTTTAATTCAGGCTGCACTGCCCTCACCCAGAGTTGACATTCCTGTCCTTCCTCCTCCAGAGAACCTTCCCCACCAACCCTGCTGCTCAATCCCCATGAACAATCCCACCCTGTGGTAAAGGTGCAAAGACCCCAAGTCCAGCCTGTGAATGAGAAAATATTTCTTTTATTTTATCATGAGGAGTGGGCAGGCATCCAGTCTCAGAACTTCTGGAACTGCTTCTTGGTGCCGGCGGCCTTGGTGACCTTGAGCACGTTGAAGCGCACTGTCTTGCTCAGGGGCCGGCACTCGCCCACCGTGACGATGTCACCGATCTGGACATCCCTGTGGAGGCAGGCGGGGGCCATGTCCTCAGGAGAGGCAGTCCCAGCAGACCCCTAGGACACCCCCTACTTTGCCAGATTGAGGGCTCTCAGCTTGAGCTCCAGCTCCAAGGAGCTCCTAATGCCGCCTCAACCTGCCCCAAAGTTATTTACTTTGCACGGCACTGAGTTCAACACTGAGCAGAGCACACGGCACCCTTCTGGGCACCACTGGGGCACACGTTCGCCACTTTACAAACTGGAGGTTCCCAAGGTTGTTGGGCAGCCTACCCACTCTCCCCCACCTCAGCAGCCAGGGGACCCTATTAACACCACGGGCAGCACAGCACACCGCTCAGATTCAGAGCAGGCCAGCCTCCTCCCTGCCCCCAGGACCCTCCCTTGTTCTCACTTCCCCATCATCTTCCCACTTGGCCCACTCTGGTGCCCTCCCTGCCAGGTGCCCTTCATGGGAGGACTTGGCCCTTGCTCACCACCAAACCCCTCAGCGTTTAAACCAAGCCTGGCACAAGATAAGCTCCGAAGAAACATGTCAAATGAACATTTAATTCCAACATTGTGGAGGCCCTGCCTACTACAGGTTGCACACCCATAATCAGAAAACCCTAAATCTGGAAAGCTCCAAAACGCAACTTTTTTGAGCACTCACATGGCATGGATTTTTTTGTTTTTTGTTTTTAAGTTGGAGTCTCACCATCAGTCAGACTGGAGGTGCAGTGGCACGATCACAGCCACCACAGCCTCAACCTGAAGATGGGCTTAGGCAATCCTCCCTCCTCAGTCTTCCAAGTAGCTGGGACTACAAGAGCGTACCACCACACCTGGCTAATTTTTTGACTTATTGTAGAGATGAGGTATCGCCAAGTTGCCCAGGCTGGTCTCGAACCCCTGGGCTCAGGCAATCCTCTCACATCTGCCTCCCAAAGTGCTGGGATGACAAACAAGCATAAGCCACTGTGCCCAGTCGACACCTTTCTTTCTTTTTTTGGAACCACCTTTGATGGTTCAATGTACGCGAACTGTCTCATGTGCCAGATTACTTTAAAATTTCAGTTATGTCTGGGCTCGGTGGCTCAGCCTGTAATCCCAACACCTTGGGAGGCCGAGGAGAATGAATTGCCTGAGCCTGCGGGTTTGAGACCAGCCCAGGCAACTTGGCAAGACCTGTCTCTAAAAGAAAAAAAAAAAACTAGCCAGGCATGGTAGCACACACCTGTAGTTCCGGGTACTTGGAAGGCTGAGGCAGCTGTGTGCCACTGCACTCCAGCCTAGCACCAGAGCGAGACTCCAACTCAAAAAAAAAAAAATTTCAGTTATAAGGTAGCCAACCATGATACACAAACCCAGAAATGTCACCCAGCAAGTGGCCCTCAGTTGGTCTCAAGTGGGCCCAGACCTGGAGCCTGAAGGCTGGAGTGCCCTGGGCTACCTAAGGGGCCACTGCGCTCACCTGAAGCAGGGGGACAGGTGCACAGACATGTTCTTGTGACGCTTCTCGAAGCGATTGTACTTGCGGATGTAGTGGAGATAGTCCCGGCGGATGACAATGGTCCTCTGCATCTTCATCTTGGTCACCACGCCTGGGGGTAGGGACAGATCAGGAATCAGGCCCCAAGGGACAGGCAGCCAAGGGTAACCCCAGGACATGCGGGGAGTCAGAAGCTGCTGAGGAGGGAAATCCCAAGAAGTTCCATTTCTGGCATCAGTTGAACCAAGTGGCTTTCTCAGCAGGACTACTGGTGGGCATCTGAAGACCATCGTGAAAATGGACATCACATGCCAGTGCCCTAAGAATCCGGACCCCAAGTCCCCGAAACTCCCCACTCACCAGACAGGATCCGCCCTCGAATGGAGACGTTACCCGTGAAGGGACATTTCTTGTCAATGTAGGTGCCCTCGATGGCCTGACAGGACAAAAAGTAAAGGAATAAGCCTTAGACAGGCGATTCCTGAAAAGAGCCAGGGGTGTGGCCTCGGGGAATGCAACTACAATTCCCAGCAGCCCCTGGGGCAGCCACTCAAACGCAGGAGTCCCCTTCTTTCCTCTGAGGGTCTCCGCACCTCTTTGGGTGTCTTGAAGCCGAGCCCAATGTTCTTGTAGTACCGCGGGAGCTTCTCCTTGCCAGTCTCGCCCAGCAGAACCCTCTTCTTGTTCTGGAAAATGGTCGGCTGCTTCTGGTAGGCACGCTCGGTCTGCGGGAATGAGGAGGAAGCTGTTGAGCTCGGAGGAGGCTGCAGGAGACCTCCCTGGGACTCCCGGACACCATCCTTGATGGCCTTTACTCCCAGTGCCCCGGGATCGCCCTCTAAGACCTGGCCACTCCGAATTTACCTACGATTCAAAGGCTGGGCTCTAAACCCGGAGCGACTGCAGTTTAGAAGCTCCAGGGCCTCCCAGCGCCTGCAGCATCCATCCTTTAAACTGGATTCATCTCGCTGACACCTGAACCCCCTCCCTTCGGCGGAAGACATTCTCCAAGACACGAGGCCACCACCCGGGGCTGCCTCCTCGTCTATTACGTGAGGATTGAGAATTAAGTGCCAAAAAAGACGAACTCCCTGGATTCGCCCTTAGACTCAGCTCCCGCAGGATTAACCCTTGAGACGCGAGACCGCCTCTTAAGCCTTGGATTTTAAGAGGATAACTCCTAAACGCTTGGGTGTCCACGAACGCGCGGAGCCCCCAGGATTTAGAAAAAGCTCATCTAGATTAACGCCAAAAGTACGCGTCCTCCCCCCGCGGTGAGTCCCTAGGAAACCGGGGACGTCTGAATGAACCCCCAAACCGGGGCGAAGTCCTCCCCTTCCGGACGCGCCCCTGAAGCCCGGGGCGGACCCCGCAGTCCCGGCGCCAACCCCGAGACCGTACCTGAATGTCCGCCATCTTCCCGGCTGCCTAAAAAAAAAGAGAGCGGCGGTGGCGCCCGGGTTTCCTTATCCACGGCGCAGGGGCAGCAGAGGAAGTGACGGAAGGGGCGGGGTAGCACGGTTGTGGGCGGTACCCCATGCGCGGCTCGGATTGACATGGGGCTCTAACCAATCACGTGTTTCGGGGACAGCACAGAAGCGGCCATGACGGTGAAGAACCCACGGGCGGGAAGCGGTGGACACTGTCTCGCGAGAGTCTCAGGCCAGCCATGCGCCCGCGCGACAGTTGAGCTTGAGACTGTGTGGCTAGTCTTGAGGCCCCTCGTGTTATCGCGAGAATCGTAGGGAGGCCGACATGTTTCTGCGGGGCGTAGGCCCTCGTGGGTTTTGGGGACCTCGTGGCTGTGTTCATTTGGCCTTCAAGCCGGTTGTGGCGGCGGCCATCTTTCTGTAGGGCGGGCGACCGGAAGGGAGTCCTAGTAGCGTGTGCGACGCCGCCATCTTTGTGAGGGGCGGGGGCTGCCCGTGAGCTTTCACAAGTTTAATGGAATTTATCTATCTATATAATGGAACTCTTATACCCCGTTTCATCCTCAGACGGTGATTTAGTGAAAACAAAAAAAAGCCATTCCTCCGCTGTGTCTTCCGTTTACAGCGCTAACAGAGCTTTCCGCGATGATGGAAATGGTCTATGTCTGCCCTGCCCAACAGAGCTTGGCACTTGAAATTTAGGATTTGGGGGCTGGGCGCGGTGACTCACGCCTGTAATCCCAGCACTTTGGGAGGCGGAGGCGAGAGGATTGTCCCAAGTTCAGGGGTTCGAAACCAGCCTGGGCAATATGGCAAGACCTTGTCTCTACAATAAATCAAAAAACTTCCCGCGCCTTGGGAAGCTGAGGTGAGTGGATTGCGTGAGCCCACGGGTTCGAGATCCGCCTGGGCAACTTGGTGAGACCTCATCTCTACAATAAATCAAAAATATTAGCCAGATGTGGTAGAACGCGCCTGTAGTTCCAGCTACTTGGACGGCTGAGGCGGAAGGATCGCCGGAGCCCAGCAGGTCGAGGCTGCGGTGGCCGGGAGCAGCCACTGCACTCCAGTCTGGGCGACAGAGTGAGACTCCGGCTCAAAACAAACAAACAAACAAATAAATCAAAAACGTAGCGGGTCGTGGTGGCGCGCGCCCGTAGTTCCAACTACTTGGAAGGCTGAGGCGGAAGGATCGCCGGAGCCCAGCAGGTCGAGGCTGCGGTGGCCGGGAGCAGCCACTGCACTCCAGTCTGGGCGACAGAGTGAGACTCCGGCTCAAAACAAACAAACAAACAAATAAATCAAAAACGTAGCGGGTCGTGGTGGCGCGCGCCCGTAGTTCCAACTACTTGGAAGGCTGAGGCGGAAGGATCGCCGGAGCCCAGCAGGTCGAGGCTGCGGTGGCCGGGAGCAGCCACTGCACTCCAGTCTGGGCGACAGAGTGAGACTCCGGCTCAAAACAAACAAACAAACAAATAAATCAAAAACGTAGCGGGTCGTGGTGGCGCGCGCCCGTAGTTCCAACTACTTGGAAGGCTGAGGCGGAAGGATCGCCGGAGCCCAGCAGGTCGAGGCTGCGGTGGCCGGGAGCAGCCACTGCACTCCAGTCTGGGCGACAGAGTGAGACTCCGGCTCAAAACAAACAAACAAACAAATAAATCAAAAACGTAGCGGGTCGTGGTGGCGCGCGCCCGTAGTTCCAACTACTTGGAAGGCTGAGGCGGAAGGATCGCCGGAGCCCAGCAGGTCGAGGCTGCGGTGGCCGGGAGCAGCCACTGCACTCCAGTCTGGGCGACAGAGTGAGACTCCGGCTCAAAACAAACAAACAAACAAATAAATCAAAAACGTAGCGGGTCGTGGTGGCGCGCGCCCGTAGTTCCAACTACTTGGAAGGCTGAGGCGGAAGGATCGCCGGAGCCCAGCAGGTCGAGGCTGCGGTGGCCGGGAGCAGCCACTGCACTCCAGTCTGGGCGACAGAGTGAGACTCCGGCTCAAAACAAACAAACAAACAAATAAATCAAAAACGTAGCGGGTCGTGGTGGCGCGCGCCCGTAGTTCCAACTACTTGGAAGGCTGAGGCGGAAGGATCGCCGGAGCCCAGCAGGTCGAGGCTGCGGTGGCCGGGAGCAGCCACTGCACTCCAGTCTGGGCGACAGAGTGAGACTCCGGCTCAAAACAAACAAACAAACAAATAAATCAAAAACGTAGCGGGTCGTGGTGGCGCGCGCCCGTAGTTCCAACTACTTGGAAGGCTGAGGCGGAAGGATCGCCGGAGCCCAGCAGGTCGAGGCTGCGGTGGCCGGGAGCAGCCACTGCACTCCAGTCTGGGCGACAGAGTGAGACTCCGGCTCAAAACAAACAAACAAACAAATAAATCAAAAACGTAGCGGGTCGTGGTGGCGCGCGCCCGTAGTTCCAACTACTTGGAAGGCTGAGGCAGAAGGATCACTGGAGCCCAGCAGGTTGAGGCTGCGGTGGCCGTCAGCGTGCCACTGTACTCTAGCCTGGGCAACAAAGTGAGACTTGGACTCAAATAAATAAGATGGGAAAGACTTACGGTATTCAGGTACAAAAAAAACCAAAACAAAACAAACAAAAACGACAAAAAAACAAAGTCAGACCCTCCACAGTTCTGTGTACAATGCAGGCCAAACCATGCACAGAAGTTACTTACAAAATGCCAGCCAGGCTTGGTGGCTCAGCCTGTGATCCCGGGCCTCCCCCGCCTTAGCCCTCCAAATACCTAGGAGTACAGACATGTGCCGTGACACCCAGCCAGTTTTCTGTAGATATCAGGATTGTTTCTCGGGCTGGTCTTGAAATCCTGTACTCAAGGGGTGTGCAATATATTCCAGCCATCTGGTACTGGTTATTGCCACCTGAATGTTACCTACCAAATACTTTTTCAGGCAAATCTAACATGCCTAACTAGAGCCTACAGATGAGGCCTAATTTTAACATCCCCTTTAACTCTATACTCCCATCTTATCACTTGCCAAATGTTTACAGCCCAAAGTTTCTTTATACAAAGCTGATCCCCTGCAGTGGCAATTGCATACTTTGCAGCTGTATTAGAATGCGCCAGCTTTAAATGGCTGGAAAACACCAGACACAACAGAGCTTATGCTCTGAGAATGCAAATCACCTGGGAAACCTATGGAGTGCAAATGGTCAAGGTGGATTCTTCTGGGAAGGACCTGTCTCCACAGCAGACACATACTGCAAAGACACCAGATTTCTTGCAAAGCAATTTATTTCTCATCACAAAATACAGGGAAGGAGCCAGGTCAGCACCTGTCACCCTCTGGCTGCACATCTTCCCAGCCTGCATCTGTAAATCCCCTTTGAACACAGCAAGCGTATAGCGCCCCTGTGAGCGTTTCTCCCATTCTAACAGCTGCAGAGTATAGCATGACCAGGTGCCCCATCCACAGGGGGTGCTCCCTCCAACCAGCGTTCCAGCTGGCTTAGTTAGGTTAATATGGAATCTGAAGCAGTCATTCTGATTTTCTACAACTCTCCTAAACAAGTGGGTCAGTCGGTCAGAAAAGCTGTCAGCACACTCAGTTGTTCCAAGCAGTCTTATACAAAGGCAGTGACTAAGGTCCTTTCCTTGCCCCCAGCTTTCTAAGCCCCAGGCTGCCTGTGGCACCTGGACTGCCGCCCCTGGGTCCCCCACATCCCAGGGCGATGATGGAGGAAGGGCAGGCCAGGCCAAGCATGTGGAACCAACAGTCTTTATTGGGCTCAGACCAGGAGGCCATGGGTCTTGAGGACCTCTGTGTATTTGCCAATCTTCTTCTCCACATTCTTTTCGGCCTGTTTCCGTAGCCTCTGTGGGAAGAGAGGAAGACAGGGGGTGTCAGGGGGTGCCCCTGGGACCAGCCCCATCACACGGGCCTTGTTTCACCCCTGCCTGGCAGGGCCTAAGACCTGGTAGGACTCCTGCCCTCACCGTGAGCTGTTTCTTCTTCCGGTAGTGGATCTTGGCCTTCTCCTTCCTCTTCTCCTCCAGGGTGGCTGTCACCGCCTGGTACTTCCAGCCAACTTCGTGAGCCAGGCGCCCCAGATAGGCAAACTAGAGGGAAGGAAGCTATAAGGACACCACCTCCCAGAGCCTGGGCTGGGGCTAGGATGGCCATACAGAGTTGTGGGGGTGCCAGACACCTGTCCCAGAGGATCCTGGGACTATATCTAGTTGTTCTCTACAAACCCATTAGAAAAGCACATACCCACCCTCCCTCCTGGCATCAGCTGAGCCATTGGCATCGTCGGCACTGCCCGTGGGGCATCCGCAGACCATCGTGAGAGAAAGACATCATCTGCCAGGCCCAGAGATCATAGGTTAACCCCCAGCAGGCCTGAAATCCCCAAATTCGACCACTCTGTGTAACCTGTAACTCACCTTCCTCGTAGGCTTCAAACGCACAACCTTGAGTGCAGCAGGAACCACCATCCGCTTTTTCTGTTAGAGAGAACAGAGACTTAGAGACCTCGAGTAAGGGACAGACAGGGAAAGAGGTTGGCTGGGTAGGCGTCTCAGCCAGTGTTGTCTTCATGAGTATCAGACAATGTAGGTAATTGTGAAACATCACGGACGCTGGGTGCACAGATGCCGCCTTGGAGGCTCTGTGCAGCTCACCTTGTCATAGGGTGGTGGGATTCCATCAAACACCTTGAGGCGGTCCAGCGCAGCCTGGCCTCGCTTGGTCTTGTGGGGCAGCATGCCTGTGGGGAGAGGGGCGTAGGCCTGCTCAGTGGGACTTGCCTGGATGTTCACCTCCCCTGGCAGGGCCAGAAGGCAAGTGGCCTCAGATGGTAGTGCATGCAGAGTCATCTCATGGTTGGGAAACTCGAACACGAGTGGGAAAAGTCCTCATCACTGGCCACTGCCTATCACTGTCTGTAAGCCCAGGCCCAGCTCACCTCGCACGGTCCGCCAAAAGATGCGGCTGGGAGCCCGGAAATGGTAGGGGCCTCTGGAAGGGTTAGTGTTCATCCGCTTGCGGAGGAAGGCCAGGTACTTTACTGCGGAGAGAGGAGAGGTGAGATCTCTCCGCCAGCCTCAACCTCCAC